AGTAAGGTTAATCTCAGTGAAGTCGTCGGACTTTGTCCACTGCTCCAGAACAAGATGACGGTGACATCGTTGTTTTGTTTTTTTAGCTTCGTAGGGAAGTTGTTGAGTCCAATCGGACTTACAAGGTATTCGTATTCTGATCCGCCTCACTCCAGTTCTGGAAAATCATTGTCCCACAATACCTATGAACTTGACATAAAAAAAAATACCAATAACATAAAAATAAGCCTAAAAATCTACGTATCCACAACACAACACATAAATACCAAATGGGTACATACCAAATTTATAAGAAACTTATAATTAACATTCTACCCAAATAAAAATAAATATAAGAGTAAAAACTCATGAATCCATTTAAAAAATCAAGTAAAAGAAAGTACCACAATGTTTTGTAGGCATACATATGGGTTCATAAAAATGCATCAACTAAAACTATTTTACTTAATTTTCTCTAAAAATATTATACCCATATCAATATGTAAAACTAAATTGAACCAAAAACATAGTGTACCCATAAATATATTAGAATGAAATAACATGTAGAATAAAATTGAACCCGTAAAATATAATAGTGTAGCCAACCATACATTGAACAATCAAGATTAATGTTTAATTAAAAAGTAAAAAAATAAAGGAAAATTTTGAAATAGGTCCAATTTTATAAGCCACTTTTTGAAATAGGTCCAATTTTTAATGACTTTTGACTTTTGAAATAGGTCCTAGTTACTTTGGACCCATATAAAAAAAACCCAAAAATAAAAAGAAACAAAAAAGTTGAGAGAGAGAGAGAAGAGAGAGAGAGAGAGAGAGAGAGAGAGTGAGCCTGGGGTAGGTTTGGGTCTAGATGATGAAGAAACATAATGAATTGAGTTTTGGGTGCTGTAGATTCCGGATGGTTATGATGGGATGGAAGGGATGGAGGAGCTTAAGGTACCGTTTGGTACGTGGGACGGGACAGAACAGAGTGGGACAAGGCGTTCTGTCCCACGTTTGGTGCGCCTAAAACGGGTGGAACGAGCTGTTCCACGGGATGAGTTTTGGGTGAATTTTCGTTCCACCTCACTCCCTGGAACGACTCGTTCCACATCCATAGAACACAAAATTATAACCTCTCCGTCTCCTTCTTCTTCCTTCTTGTTTCCATCCGAGGGCATCTTTGCTCTCGCTCTGTTCCGTTCCGTCCTATCCCGTCCCGTCCCGTCCCATTCCGTTCCGTCCCGTCCTGTCTGCATACCAAACGATACCTAAAGGACAAGGATTGTCTGTCTTGCTACTTCCGGTGCCTTTCCATGCTTACCTGTTTTGTATAGTCACGGTTAAATCACGTTAACATTTTATATTGCTTTTTTAGAGATAATAAGACAAAAATGAATAGTAATATAAAATGTTGACGTGGCTTAACCGTAACCACACAAACAAGAGGGCACAGGAGCACGAGAGGGCACCGGAAATGGAAGGGCAGACAATCCTTGTTCAAGTTTAAATGGTTGTTTATTTTACTTTAAATATAGGTAGAGATGTTCGACCGAGATAAATATGAAAAAATGTTGAGGTAATCTTTTAAATTCTAAAATAATAATGTGAACAAAGTCAAAGGATATTAATAAAACATAAATAAGAATAAGATTCGAGAATTGTTATTGACAATTCAAAAATCTCATTTTGCACTCTAAATTTTTTATAACTATAAAGAAAACTAAGAAGTATAGAATGTGATTTTTGGAATGTTATTACATTGTGGTTTTAATCATGGAATATGAAAATAAGGAATGATAACTATTTCTTTTTTAATTTATCCACTTACTTTTTTTCATTGAACCGTATATACCAATCACGACCTTCTCTCTCTCTCTCTCTCTCTCTCTCTCTCTCTCTCTCTCTCTTTTTAATAAAAAGAGGACAACTGATGATAAAGTCGCGGTTATCCACTTCTTCCATGTTCGAAGAAATATGAGGAATTTCATCCTACCCGTAATCAGAGTCAATAATAACCCTTTCTCATATTTGAAATTTTGTGTGTATTGTAACACAGATCATGTTGATTTCTTGTGTTATTAAGAATCCACATAACTCTAGCCAATAATTTTCAGGTGGTTTGTTTGTCTAGTTGGTCGGTTTCTGATGGCGATATTGATCGGTTACCATCAAGAGGGACAGGTGCTTCCTCCTCCCTCAGTTCCTTCGATCGGTTAACTGCACGCTCGTCCTGATTGGCCTCTTAATTAATGGCTGGTTAGGAATTGTGGTTCTTTTAAAAAATAAACAGCTTATTAAAAAAAATTTAGAACATCGAATGTATTTGGTAAAACCCAAAAATTAAAAATTAAAAAAAAATGCTGTCAATTATAGTATATAAAAGCATTTTTACCAAAAAAATAGTATATAAAAGCATTAAAAAGCAGAAGTAGGGGTCTATCATACTTCTAAAAAAAATGTTTTTTCTTTTTTTCAAAGCATAGTAATCAGTGTTCATGTTAATGAAATTTTCAAATAACAAGTGTACTCCCTTATATTTTACAAAATTACAATTATTGCCCTTACATTATTCTCTTTGACAGTTTTTATATCATTAAATATTATATCATTTTTAATCATTTCACATATTCACAACAATTTATATAAAAGTTTACCAAATACTTAACAACTTTATTTTATATTTATTTATTCTGAAACACAACAAAAACAATTGTTTTTTTTTAAAAAAAGCACTACAATATCAAACTAGCTTTAAGCAAAACAACTTTTGTTTAATTAAGGTCCAAAAATATATTCTGGAACATAGACATCTACAAAACTTTAATTTCGTATTCTGGGTTATGAGACAAACTAATTTAAAGTTTTAAGTGGTGGGGTGCATTAAAGAAGAAGAAGGTTTTCTTTTTTCTTGTTTGTTTTTTGGGATGAGGCCAAGCCATAAAAGAAGGTTTTAAGTTTTAATCCCATATATATATATATATATTATATTTATGTTATACTATATCATGCATTTGGCAGTGGTGGGGAGCTGATCGTATCATTACCTCTTGTAGTCATGATTAATGTCACAATCACAGGTATTCTACAATAAATTCTATTATATTTATCCAGGAACGTGTGGCTTAAGTAGTTAAAAACATTTCATGTCCAAATATATTCTAATGCTAAGTTTTTTATGTTTGCGCATTATTACTAGGTAATAAGTTGAGTAAAAATTGTCTTGATCTAAAGTAATGCACAATATTGACTAAAAGTCCCTCACGCAAATTTGAACATAGTTAAATTGATTAGAATAATATACTCTCCATTTTGTACCAAGTTCGAAAACCCCTTACGTTAGTTTAAAATCTAAAAGCATTTTTAGTATAACTTATTAGCTATTGATGTCACTACCTCTTCCTCCTCCTCATTTAAGGGATGAATGAAGAAAAAAAAAAGTGATTTTAATATTTCCTGAAACTGAATAAACATAAAAATGTGATTTCATCAAAAGGAATGGTGGTTACATTTTGGTAGGTCAAGATAAGGGAGATAAATAGTAATTCTAGGTAGAGTAATTTTTTAGATCAAATTTGTAAATTATGTGGTGTGTCATTAATAGAAAATAAATACGTTAATTAACTAATTAATAATTTAATCAACAAAAATCACGTCATATAGTTTAAATAAATGTCTCATATTTATATGATGGTGAAGAAAGTTGAGGTTCTACCATAAAACTAATTGTTAGTATGAAGAATAACCCAACTTATTATAAGCACATGCAAAGTCTCTCCTCCTATTAATGTGAGATTCATTCTCAATACCTCTCTCACGTGTGGGGAATTTTCAAGTCTAACACGTGGACAACATAACACAGTGATGTGCAGCACGTATGGCCATTTGGCTTCACACATAAGACAACCTGCTTTGATACTATAAAGATATTGAGATTTCATCATAAAACTAATTGACAATATAGAAAATAATTCAACTTACATATAAGCACGTAGAAAATCTATCTTCCCGTCGACATGGAATTCATTTCGAACAGATAGAGCTATTGTGTTGTAGCCAAATGGTGGGATGACTTCCAGTTTACCATACAATGATCAATGATGGTGCCCCTCACCATCCCCATCTATTTCCCGCCACGCATCACATTCACAATTTCCCCCTCTTTTTGACCCATTTCTCGACCACACACCTACTTCCTACTAGAAAATTCCGATTATTATAATTTCTTATATTTCCCCTACTGGAATTTCAGATAAATAAGAATCCGGATTCACCCGATTCTCTTTGTGAGGATCCCATGAAAATCTTCGAAATCATTTTAAATATTTTTATTTAAAATTAAATATAAATAATACGTGACAAAAACTAATTGCATGATGTACGATGAACAAACACGATTTATAAATTCCTAAGATTCTTACAAAAATGATTTGAAAAGGATCCCGTTGGGATAGATATTAATCATACTACAACTCAACTAGTCATTCTGCTATATCTTCTCTTTCAAGTGACCCAGATTCAATTTGAAATTGTTTAGAATTCTTCAACGCGCATTCAACAATTATATTTAGTAACACGTTGTACATTAAACCACATGGGCATGGCGTTTGTATTAAACATGTATCTGCCCGTTTCATACATCACTCGATCTAGAAGCTCCACCGTGTTGAAAAGATTGTACGTGCAACCAGTTGTACATATTTTATTTCACGTATAATTACATATTGCTTATCATTTTTGTTCTTTTTATTTACGTCTCTACGGTATAAAAATTTAAAGTGTAACCGAATGTAGAATCATGGGTGTCGTGTCAGCTTATCTGACAAAGTGTGGTGTGTGTCAAAAGAATCGATTCCTGTCGTACCAATGTCGGACAAAGCTTTACTGCACAGAAAGAAAGAGTTGAGACAAACAGAACCCTCCTAATATGGAACATAAAAAAGATTAAGAAACAATTGAAAACAACAAAGAAAAGGAAAAAGGAAAGAGAGAAAAGAAAGAATAAATACGTTGGTAGTTGTCTGGCAATGGAGTTCAGGTATAATAGCCGTTTTTCTTTAGCTTTTTCTCCTCTCTTTCTTCACCTTCTTCCTTCCTTCGCCTTCCCACTCCAAAAAAAAGATATAGCTGCATTGATTCTCTCCATTGCCATTACCACCTTTCCTTCTCTCTCTCCTCCCTTATATACGTTTCTTTCTCTCTTCTTTTTAGAGAGAGAAAGAGAGAGAGATTGACAGTTCAGAGAGCAAAAGCAGCCATCATCACCCCAGAGAGGGAGAGGGAGAGAGAGAGTGATCTGAAATGGGTTCTTCAGGGCAGAGCAGCAGCAACTACGATCTGTCGTTCAAGATCTTGCTGATAGGAGACTCCGCCGTCGGCAAAAGTAGTCTGCTTGTTAGCTTCATCTCCAACTCTGTTGACGATCTTGCCCCCACCATTGGTATTATCAATCTTTTGAACCCCATCTTTTACATTTCATTTGGGAGGTGATAAAAATGTCATTTTGTTAATTCTTGTGTTACCGGTCTAATGAGATCAAATGTTGTATCTATATTTGTATACTGTTGGATCTATATTTGTACAAGGGTAATGCTAAGGAGACCAACTGTTTAGCCTAAATTTCGTAAATTATATATATATGTCGTGGTTGTTGACAATTGGATTATTACTCAAATGTTGATTTATGTGCTTATTTTTTATTGGTAATCCCATCACATTGTTTACAAATTTGGTCTAAATAGCGTTGTAATTAAGAAGAGAATATTGCAGATGCGGGCTAGGCTAGTTCGGCAGTGTGCCCACACTCGCACACAAGTTCCAATTCATCTTCCTGTAGATTAGAGTAGTTTAGAAGTTCCAATTCATCTTCTTGTAGACTAGAGTAGTTTAGAATATCGTATTCAAGAAATTTCCAAGGAATGGGCTCAAAGAAGTTAGTAGCTTGAAGAACTTTGGGTATCTTGTGCAGAATTTGGCTTGATTGGGACAACCGGACAACCATTTGTAGTATATTTGATGAGTTTTGTTGCATTGTTCATAGGTGTGGATTTTAAAATCAAGCTGCTCACTGTAGCTGGGAAGAAAATCAAGATGACTATTTGGGACACAGGTAGAGAGAGCTTCACACCCAAATTTTCTTATCAATTTATATGATAAAATTTTAAATGATAAATTGGGAACAAATAACATTGTGTGTTGCAGCTGGACAGGAGAGGTTCAGAACATTAACAAGCTCTTACTACAGAAATGCCCAAGGAATCATCCTTGGTACGTTATCAAAGCTTTCGCCATTTTGATCTCGAAATCTTTATGTTTTCTGTAAGGAAAATGTGGCATTGCTTTCACCTCGGAAATATGAAGCTACTTCTCCTGCTTCTCTTAGTAACGTCTGTTTTCGTATCATGGAACTATTACCTAATCTTAAGTTCTTAGAATACCTTGCATCCAACAGTTGCCTGATTTCAGCTAACGGATGACTCCTCCGCTTTGTTTTAGTGTATGATGTGACTCGGAGAGACACCTTTACGAACTTATCGGATGTGTGGGCTAAAGAAGTGGAACTGTACTCGACTAACCAGGACTGTGTCAAGATGCTTGTTGGGAATAAAGTTGATAGAGTAAGTTTCGTATTCGCTGTCTTATATTTTAAAACTTGATCCCAGAGAATGAACAAGAAGTGATCAATAGTTGTGGGGCGTTGTCTCTCGTAGTAAGCATACAGCCCAAAAAGGTCTTATTAACTTAGCTCCATGTTCGTCATATATTATCACAACCAAAGCAAGAAACGGATGAAATAGTTTGCGGTCCTCATCTCTATTTTGATCTCTATCTTTGAGAGATTCCATGTTTTTAGAAATCTGGTGAAACCTCTTCTTATTATCTCAACTTCTTGAATGAGTTACGAATCAATTCTTTGCAATTCCAGGAATCAGAAAGGGCTGTAAGTAGAGAAGAGGGGATTTCTCTTGCAAAAGATCTTGGATGTTTGTTTCTTGAATGTAGCGCTAAAACTCGAGAGAATGTGGAGCACTGCTTCAAAGAGCTAGCGTTGAAGGTACTTCCTAGAATTCTTTTCTTTTAAACACGCTCGATAGAATTAGAACTGAAGTTCTCGTGCCAGATGGAACTGTATTTTACTTAAATGACAGATGCATATCCCTAAAAACTTGTTGACATAATTTTAGCAGTACAATTTTCTAATCATATTGCTAATTACTCAAGCTCAAGGCAGTTGCCCTACGATTTTATTCTACAGTATGTTTTTTTCTGTTCCTAATTCTAATCAACTGGGACTGTGCAACAGATAATGGAGGTTCCTAGTCTCTTGGAAGAAGGTTCAACCATGGCAAAGAGAAATATATTGAAGCAGAAACAGGAAAATCAAGCACCTCCTATCGGTACTTGTTGCTCGTAAAATGCCACCTTGTGCACCTCGTATGAAGCTCGACTCACATCAAGAACAGATCTTGTATATGTAATTTCGATGTTTTTTTCTGTCTTACTGCATAATTGTTTGTTTCAATCGTATAATGCACAAATTGGCACTCATATAACTTGTGTATTAGCTTGTGTAAATGTAATTTCCTTGTTTTTCAGCCATGTTATGGAAAAAGAATTGCTTGTATTTTTATATAAACAGAGAAGAAAAAGAAAAAGAAAAAATCATTAGCAACATTTAATCCATAAACATGCCCATAAGTTTTCTGTCATTAGCAACACTTAATCCATATACATGTCCATAAGTTTTCTGTAGATCTCCACACGCTGAGTTCTGCAAGATCATTGCTATAAGAGAACTTTCTTACACCCGCGGCACGAAACGGATGTTTCACATTTATGGTCGTGTGCTCGCACGACGTAACAAATGTGAGACATCCGTTTTATGCACATGGTGCAGGGAACATTTCTTTTCTGCCTTTGTTAACTATAAACGGTTTGGTCAGAAACTCAATAACCAAACTTGTTAAGATTGAGAGCTCCTCCTCCATGTTTGAAATTGATGCTATTGCTCAATGGTCCTTCCATGCTTTTGAGAAACTCCAGGAAGGTTTTCTTTCACATCACGTGGAGCGATTCAAGTGAGATCCAATGATAGAAACATATTTATGCGATTTAGTTAGCCTGTTTTCTTACATTTATGTTGTTAGTTCCTAGTTATTTTAGTATTTTAAGCTATTTTTGTGTGTTTGTAGGTTCAAATGGTTAAAGTGGCAAGAAAGTGCAATTTGGAGCAGTTTTGGGCTAGGAATGGTTAGCACATGCTTGGAGTAAGGTGGATGGACGAAATTGAAGACCAAAGGAGGCTAGGAATCTGCTAAAGAGGTGGAAGAAATTAGTTCAAGACTTGGAAGAAAAGGAATCAACCACAAAGAAGGAAACATGAGTCAAACTTCCTTATTTTGACTTAGTCAATCCTAATCTTTTCCTAATTATGTTCCAGCTATCAAAGGGGTTCCTAATCAATTTAGGACACCTAAATATAAATTCTAGAAGCCTTAATCCTAGCCAAAGAGGGATGCCGCACCTCCTTGCCCTTTCTCTTTTCCTTGCCGTGCAAGGCTTCACCTTGCCCTTTCCTATTTCCTATTTTCTGTCCTTGCCGCAAGTTTCCTATCCCTTTTCCCTTGGGATTCTAACTTCAATTCTCCTTTTCCTTGTGGATTTGGGGTCCAATTCTTTCCCAAAACATTTAATTAAAGTCATGATCCTTGCCCTAAAAGATATACATCCTGCCACACCCATTCACACATATATACAATCATATACACAGTTCAACCATCATTCATCCTTCTCTACACACACAGCCGCATCCTTCCATTCAACCATCATCCATACATACTTCCGCACCCTATCATCCATCATACTTCCCTGTCATTCATCAATCCTTCACCATAACACACCACAACCCAATTTCACACCCTTACACCCTTGTGCCATAGCCTAGCAAGGAAGAAGAAGAGGAGAAGCAGCCTTGGACGTTTTTGCATTCAAGTTGGATTGTTGGAACGTTTTTAGGTGTAATCTATCTTTTGTTTTCAATGTCTAATTTAAATTCTCTTTGTTTTGCTGTGAACATGAGAGGCTAAACTTGTTTTAGCTAGAGGAGACTTTGAAACCATGATTATATTTGCGATATGAAGTGATTAATTCCAGTTATGATTTCATAAATTGAGAATGCAATTTACTTAACCGTTTGATTAAGAACTTATTCTTGTATGTTGATTAAGGAGGCCTACTTAGTTTGCATGCATGAATTTGATGCTAGAATATAAGGGAGTTTCACATAATCGTTACAAACTTATATTCACAAGTACTAAAGGTTGCTTGTCACAATCATGTTAAGTTAAATTCCTAGCATGAGTATCATGATGTAATAGTTACGAATGCCTTGTCAATGCTTATGATTTTCACGAAGCTTAATGATCTTTGCTTGTGTCTCTATTTTGCAGTTCATGCAGGGAACTTGGGAAGAATAATTTGGTTGACGATGCATTGTCCATCCAATTCAATGACTTAAGGAAAATTTGAGGGTTAATTAGTGATGTCACGGTTAATCTGGGGTGTTGAGGTTCATGGTTTATTCAAAAAGCAACTGGAAATCAATTTGTATGCAAGTGTGTCATGTGTGGAAAAGGACCCTCTAGCTAGCTTATCACCCATCCATTCACTCAATTTTGTGCCAAACTTTGTTTAAATCTTTAAGTTACTTGTTTTTTACTTTAAATTCGTCAAAAACCCAATCCCCTTTACCTTGTTGTGTCAAATTAGCTAGAATCCGTCCAATTTGTGTTTTTAAGTGTTTTGAGTCAAGTTAAAGTTAGAATTCATCCAAATTAAGTCCTAGTGTCTAATTTGAGTCTATTTGATTGTTTTGTACTGTTATGAGTCTTTTTAGTTTGTTTTGAGTTCTTTGAGTCTAGTTAATTGTTTTCAAGCCTAGTTTTATGTTTTTGAGTCAGTTTTGAGTAGATTACCAATCCCTTCTAATCCCCGGCCTAGAACGATCCCTACTTACATCTTTACTACAATTGTCAATAAGAGGGTTTAATTTGAGTGCTATATTTTATCACATCATCCAATGTAGATCCAACTTTCTATTCACTTGTGAGATCCAACCGGTCAAGAACGGACAACCATGACTCCTCTCTTCTTGAGAATCCCTACATCTCTTATCAATATATGGACAACTCTCCCTCGAGCACAAGTTTAGGTTTGGCCTCAATGGGAAAATAAAACGGAGCACCTAACAACGTATCTTCACAGACCAAAAACTACAAGGTCGCTGATGTGATAAATAATAGCACTCAAATTAAACCCTCTTATTGACAATTGTAGTAAAGATATAAGTAGGGATCATTCTAGGCCGGGGATTAGGAGAGATTGCTAATCTAATGAAAACTGACTCAAAGATACAAAAATATGCTTAAAAACACTTAAACAAACTCAAAGACTCTTAACTAAACTTATATGACTCAAAACAAACTCAAAAGACTCAAAACAACACAAAACAATCAAATAGACTCAAACTAGACTCTAGGACTTAATTTGGATGAAAATAGAATTGGTTTTGACTCAAAACACTTAAAAACACACAATAGGACATATTTGACACAACAAAGTAAAGGGGATTGGGTTTTTGACGAATTTAATGTAAAAACAAGTAACTAAAAGACTTAAACAAAGTTTGGATGAATTTGTGAAAAACTATGGATGATTAGCTAGCTAGAGGATTCTTTTCCACACATGATACATTCGAACACAAATTGATTTCCAGTTGCTTTTTCAATAAACCATGAACCTCAACACCCAAGATTAACCGTGACATCACTAATTAACCCTCATATTCTCCTTTAGTTATTGGATTGGATGACATCATTCGACAACCCAAAGCATTCTTCAAAAGTTCCCTACATGACATCATAATAGAGATACAATCAAAGATCATTACGTTCTATGAAAATCATAAGTATTGACAAAACATTCGTAACTATGACATCATGATACTCGTGCTAGGAATTTAACTTAACATGATTGTGAAAACAATCTTAACTACTTGTGAATATATAAGTTTGTAACGATTATGTGAAACTCCCTTATATTCTAGCACCAATTCAAGCATGCAAATTAAGTAGGCCTCCCTAATCAACATACAAGAATAAGTTCTCCATCAAATGGTTAAGTACATTGCATTCACAATTTATGAAATCATAACTGGAATTAATCAATTCATATCACAAACATAATCATGGTTTCAAAGCCTCCCATAGCTAAAACGGGTTTAGCCTCTCATGTTCACAACAAAACAAAGAAAACTTGAATTAAACATTGAAAATAAAAGATAGATTACACCTAAAAATGTTCCAACACTCCAACTTGAATGCAAAAACGTCGAAGGCTTCTTCTCTTCTTCTTCTTCCTTGCTATGTTGCGGCACAAAAGGTTTAGGGATGATTTTGGATGTGTTTCTGGGTTAGGAGTGGATTTGGGTTGGTAGGGGAGTTGGGCAAAGTAGAGGAATGGTGTATGGATGTGTGGTTGAAGGTATGAAAGTATGGGAATGGTGTAGGAGTGAATGAAGGATGCGACAAAGGGTGGTGTGTAAGGATGAAGGATGGCATGCTGTGTATATGAGTGAATAATGTTCTCTATGGGTGCAGCAAAGGCTATTTATTTGAGGGAAAGGATCTTAGCTTTTATTAAATGGTTTAGGAAAGAATTAGACCCCAAATCCACAAGAAAAAGGAGACTTAAAGTTAGAATCCCAAGGGAAAAGGGAAGGAATTTGCGGCAAGGAAAGATAGAAAGGGAATGTGATTTAAAGCTGAAATTAGGCAAGGATTTAGGATAAAATAGGAATGTAAGGTGCGGCATTGACTAGGATTAAAAGGGAATGTGATCTTGGGACACAAAATAGGGAATAAACAATCCCCTTGCACGGCAAGGAAGGGACAAGTTAAGGCAAGCCACGACAAGGGCAATAAAGGTGCAAGGAAGGTTTAGTTTGTGTCCTAAAATGCATAAGAGTCCTTCAATGTTGCTGGAACTTAGGGGCTTTTAGGATTAGGAAAGGTCAAACCAAAATAGGCAACCTTCGTTTAACTTTCCTACTTCAAGTAGGAATCCTTCTTTGACTAGGAATCCTTCTTTGATTAGGAATCCTTCTTTGATTAAGAATCCTTCTTTGATTAGGAATCCTAACATCATTATGTCTTCAATTTTGTCCATTCCTTTTGCTCCAAGCATATACTATCCATTCCAAGTCCAATTTTGCTCCAAAAGGCTCCAAAATGCACCTTCTTGCTACTTTAGCCATATGAACCTACAAACACACGAAAATAGGTCAAAATACTAAAATAATTATGAACTAACAACATAAATGTAAGAAAACAAGCTAACTAAGTGGCCTAAATATGCTCCTATCAAATTCCCCCACACTTAGCTTTTGCTAGTCCTCAAGCAAAACAAAACAAAAGATACAAAAGAAACAAAACAAAACACACTCTAGACCTTCCAACATTTACCTCAGGGATTTCCAATGAATATGACACATTAAAAAAACTACTCCCACGGTTATTAGCACTCTTTACACTTGAGAAAACACTTAACCATAGTTACCACTTACTT